TAGCACTTCACACCTGGGGAGGAGGAGGAGGAGGAGGAGGAGGTAGGAGGTAGAGAAAGGAAGAGGATGAGGAGGAGGAGGGGGAGGGGAGGGGGGGAGGGAGGGAGGGAGGGAGGGAAGGAGCGAGGAGGGGAAGGAGGAGGAGAGGGAGGAGGAGGAGGAAGAGGAAAAGGAGAAGGAGGGTGGAGGAGGAGGAGAATGAAAAGGAAGATGAGGAGGAGGGCGATCATTCCCTCCCTGCCTCCTCTTGCCTACTGCCTCTCTTTTCTCTCCCGCACTCCGCCTTGCTTCCCCCTCGGCGCCCACCCCCCACCCCCTCGCCGACCTCGTCGCTCGCCCGCCCCCCCGCTCCGCCCGCAGGCGCAGCCCACTCCATTCCCCCCCACCACCCCCCCCTAACCTTCTCCCACCTGATGGGCCGCGCGGCCGTGCAGCTGCGGCAGCGGCGACGGCAAGGGGCTTGCCGTCGCCGCTGCAGCAGCCGCCTCCCTCGTTTACCCACCCCTCCCCCCGCTTCCCGATACTGCCGCGCTGTCACGCGGCCATTTGGATAGCTCCCCCGACCCACGACGTCGTGGAAACTTGGGTTGTCCACAACCATGGGGACGCAGTATTCCCAATCCTTGAGGTAGCTGTCGCTGAGCAGCTTCACGCGCTCGAACTGTATCATGTGGGTCGGCTTGGGCGGCTCGACCTTGGCTGAGGGGGCGGTCAGGCTATGGCAGAAAGGAGTGGAGGAAAGAGAGGGAAGAAAGAACCTTCTTCTTGCCCTTCTTGGACTCCTTCTTCTCACCCTCCTTCGCATCCTTCTTCTCAGCTGACTTCGGGAGCACTGGGATCAGCCAGGCAGGGCAGCATTCACTTTTGTTCGCGTTCATCCAGCCACTGCCGTCGAGGTACAGTGCTGGCTGGCCTGGTGCAAGCTTGCGTGGGTTCAGGCTGATGCACGTCCCTGGGCGAAAGGGCTCGTGCTCGCTCGCTCTCTCGACTCTCGATCGCCCCCCTGCTCCGCCTGCCCTGCCAGGCCAGTGCCGTGGCCGCCGCGCGAGCGGCTGCCGTGGGCCAGGACGCGCAACTCAACCTCCTCTTCCCTTCCCTTCCCCCTCCTCGCCCTCCTCCGACGCCTCCGACTCCGACCCCGACCTCTCCTCCCACCCACTGCCAACTCCTCGTTCTCGCCCACCCCCCCACCCCATCGCCCACCTCTCCCTCTCCAAACCCCCTTCCCATCCTCCAGCTACAGCCACTTAGATTTCGATCCCGACTCGCGCGCGTCGATCCGACTCCCCGACTCCGCATCCCGACTCCGCATGCTTCCCCTTCTCCTTATCATCCTTATCCGTCTCCCTCTCCCTCTTCCCCACCCCCTCCTCCTCCGCTCCTCGTCATCGTCTCCTCGCCCTCCTCCGCCCCCATCCGCCCCCTCGCCCTCGCCCTCGTCCTCCTCCTCCTCCCCCGACTCCTCCTCCATGTCCGCCACCCTGATCCCGCCCCTTCCCGCTTCTCTATCTCTTTGCCCCAGCGCCCCAGCTGCGCCTTTATTCAGATATTGCGCTGTGTTCGCGTCGACCACTTTGCCCCGCATGCGCAGCCTGGTGGGCCCCACCTCGCGCCGGATGATGCAGCGGCGCTTGACCTCGGGGGCGGCGCCGTCCTCGGGCGAGGGGCGGGTCGCGGAGAGGCGCGACGATGGCGACGGCCAAGACGCGGGGAACAAGACTAGAGATGAAACGACACTTGCGACTGCGACTCGGCGACGAGAGGCAAGAGAGGGGGAGAGGAGGAGGAGGAGGAGGAGGATGAGGAGGAGGAGGAGGAGGAGGACTGCATGGGAAGATGAGGAGGAAGATGGTGTGAATATTTGTTTTTGCCCGTTCGTCCTCGATCAGCAAGTCAGCAGCAGTTCCCCCTCCTCGCCAGGCGTCGCGTACCAGATATACCTTGCAAAACGAAAGCAACACATGCAGCAACAAAAAACACCGAATTCAGAAAATCCGCAAACCAAATCTAACTGTTAACTTAGATTCCGTGCCCTAGGGGTACCCGCGCGGCCACGGCGTCCGATTTGGCACCGACCATATCATCAAGATGGCCTGCGGGTCTTGCTCGCCCCTCCTGGATCGCGCCCGCGGCCCCAGCGCGCAGCCCCACGTTGGCAAAAGCCAAACCTCTGGCACATGGCCGCGTCTGCTCGCGAAAGGCGGGAAGTGCCACACAATGGGGATGCGCACCGTCAGGGGCAGCTCAATGAGCGCTGGGGCCCACGGCGGGCGGGGGCCTGCAGGCTGCGGGTATAGAGATGGCACGTGCGGTATTGCAGGGGGAGATGAGTAGTACCCTAAGTCCAAGGTAGACCCACGGAGCCATCTGAACTGTCCAGGTCGATCACCGAGCAAATACTCAGGATAAGGACAGTTGGGATCAGGATTGGAGGCAGTCTCGATAGGGCAGTCGGAGTCGGGGTCGACAGGGACGGGGACGTCCTCTGCCGCAACCATTGGCTGCCCCAGCCCACCGATGAAACAGTTGAGCCAAAACTGCAGGGGGATGGAGGATAAAAGCACGACATTGCGAAATGCGCGGCCGTCGAAGCAGATGCCAGAGAACTAAAAGGAGGAAGCAGGAAGAGGATGCAGACGACGACCGCAACGACGAGGGCGATAATGGACACCCCGCTCTCCCATCGTTTCCCCCGCCCACCCCCTGACTACGATTCGCCAGGGCGAAGAGAGGAGGGCGGGGAGAGCGACGACGACGCCGACGAGGAACCACGAGGAGGCATGATATGGAAGGACATTGATGATAGGTCGTGGAAGCGACAGCGCCACACCCCGCCAGCAGGGTCGCAGCTGCGGTCCTCGCTGGGGCTCGGAAGCTTGCCATATGGCGCAACCCTCAGGCACGGTTCTCCTTCGGCTCGCCCTCCGTGGTGGGCCTGCCGTCCAAGGTGGAAAGCAGCTGGGCCCTCGCCAGCCCCATCAGGTAATCCTGAACCTTGCTGGCAGCGTACTTCGTGATGAAACCAGTCACGCAGTCCGAATGCTCGCGGGCAGGTCAAGGAATACCTGCGCCACCGTGGCACCTACCTTCGCGCTTCGCGCCCAGCTAGACACGGCGCGCGGGCGCGGATACCTTCGTGCCCTCGCAAGACCGAAGGTCTCAGAGGTTGGCGCCTAAGACGGGACTGGGCGCGACGTTCGATGCGCCGTGGGCAGTTGTCTTCGCGTTCGCCAACTCGGAGCTCGGGGGCTGGCCTTGGGCGCAGACTGCCAGCATGCCGAAGCCAGCTGGGGGGGGGCCTTTATTGAGAAGGGCAGAGGGAAAACGAAGACCGATGGGGAATATGACAAGGGGGAGAAGGAGGGAAAGGGACGACGGAAGGCAGAGAGAGGAAAGTGCAAAGGACTGACAGAGGAGGGCAGGATGACAGGAAGGACGAGGCGCCCTCCTCCTCCTTCTCCTTCAAGCGGCCCCACCATCTGTCCAGGGGCACCTCGCACATCTCCACGCATTCCCGCGAGCGCCCCTGAACCGCACTGCCTGCACCTGCCCCGTTGCCTCATGGCGAAGCGACACACGAATGGCGAAACAAAACATCTCACATGTGCCCATGCGTTGCCAACGTCAGCCAGCGCGGGTCAACTCTCACGTCCATCCCCCCTCGTGATCTGTCTCACCCTTCTCCAACACTCTCCCCAGCCTCTTCCACCCCCGCTCCCTTTTTCCCCGTCCCCTTGGTCGCCGCGTCGCCACGTCGCCACGTCGCTTGCCGCCGCCCTCATCCTCGGCAACGTGGAGGGGGGTGAGCCCGCGGGCTACTAGTGGGGCCGAGGGCTGCAAGGCCCTGCAAGGCCGTGGTAGAAGGAGTTGGGGGGTCGCGCTGCATCGCCGCTGCATCGGCGGCGCGGCCTCGACGCGGGCCCAGCCCCCCCTCGCGCAAGCGTCGCCGATGCATCGCCGACCGACATCGCCAACGCAGATGCGCCCCCGACGGCCCGACGCTGCGCCATCTTTCGCGCTGCTATCCCTGGGAGCCAGCCCCTGCAACCAGGACAATGACAGCGACTTGGACGACGCCCAGTTGCCCTCGCTGGTGAACGTCGCCAGGACCTGGGCCTGCTGCGTCTGAGGCGGCAGCGGCAGCGGCGCTGCGATTGTCTTGAGCTTCCCGAACACGGCGGCAACGACGTCGGCAGCCATCACCTTCGCGTTCACCGACCGGGCGCGCTCCTGGACGGGGGGCGAGAGGAGAGCGGGGAGGAGGGCATGGGGGGGTTGCGGCAGGAGGGCTGCAGGCCCCAGCCAGGCATGCGACAAACCATGCGGGGGCAAGGACGGGCCCAGGAGCCGCGCCTCCCGAACTTATGGCATCGCTTTTCCCGATCGGTCCTTGTCGAAGTTCGCCAGCGCATTCGCCGTCAACTTGACCCGCTCATCTGGGAACACAGCAAGATTTGCAGGGACCATGTCTGCCGAGACCGATTGTATGGAAGCCTGGTTCGCCTTGAGATACTTTTTGACGTCCACTGCAGATCCGCAAGTGAGAATCTTCTGCAAGCTGCCCCGTCTGGTCTGGTACGCGCGAGGGCCTGCAACCGCGATCTCGTCGACGACCTCGAACGTGACAGCGATCACCATCATCAGCGCCTGGAGGCGCAGGAGGAGGAGGAGGAGGATGAGGAGGAGGAGGAGGAGCTGAGGAGGAGCTGAGGAGGAGGAGGAGGAGGAGGAGGAGGAGGAGGAGGAGGAGTGGGGGGCGAAGAGGAGGACGCGAAGGAGGAGGAGGTGGAATCATGGATGGATGGGAAAGAAGAGGAGGGGGGAGGGGGGGCGAGGGATGGCGAGCAACCTTCGGCCCGCGACCCCACCCCCCCACTCCTCGGGCCCTCGGGCCACGCCCCTGGCAAGGAGGGGGGAGAGGACAGGGGGTGGGCACCCTGATTGAGGCTCGGGCACGGGAGCAGGTAGGGTTCGAGAGGCCACGTTCGCCCCCTGGAGACCTCAGACATCAAGGCATGCAGGAGGTTGCCTGGCGTCAGCTGGTTGTCATCCTCGAGCGCAGGGTTGCTGGCCTCTTCCAGGGCCTTCAAGACAGGGCTCAACGACTCCGAGACATAGGGCTTGCTCTCCATGGACGGGCCCATGCGGCAAGGAAATTGATGGGACCCCAAACTTGAGATGATGTACGTCGCGAGCTGGGTGCGCATGCGCCTCACGAACTTGAGCCCCATCTTCTTGTCGAGCATCTTGGTCACCATTTCGTTGTCCGCGAAGATGCTCGGGCCAGTCGACTTGGTCAAGATCACGTCGCGGCACCTCCCCGCGGCGTCCCAGTCCAGCGGGCAAACGGCCAGCACGGCCTTGCTCGCCTACAACGGCATAGATGAAAGGAAGAGAGAGTGCGATATATATATATATATAGAGAGAGAGAGAGAGAGAGGGATCGCATCGCGGGTGAACGAGAAAGAGGAGGGAGCGCCAGGGAGAGAGAGAGAGTGAGAGAGAGAGAGAGAAGAGAGAGAGAGAGAGAGAGAGAGAGAGAGAGAGAGAGAGAGAGAGAGAGAAGAGAGAGGGAGCGAGAGTGAACGAGAAAGATACATACGAAATAGGGAGCTAGAGCGAGAGAGAGGTAGAGCGGGAAGAAGAAGTGGGCCTCGGTCGCGAGCGTGCGAATCGCCTCGAGCTGCGAACCGAAGGGGCCGCCGTTCCTGCTCAGCTCGCCCAAGACCGCCACGAAGGCCACCCCAGCCGCCCCCGCGGCCCGCGTCTGCGCCATCAGAGGCGCCTGAAAGTTGCGGGCTCTCGCCGCCGAAGGCGATAGGGGGATGGACAAAAAGATGTGCACTTGCTCCGAGTAGATGGGGTTGGAAGATGCTGCATCGTCGATGCATCGGTTCGTCCCGCGCCGAACCGCATCGGATCGCATCGCAGTTGCATCAGATCGCATCGCATCGCCGAGGTAAGTGGCGCATCGAACTGCAACGCTGCAACGCCTACTGCGTGGGCCTCAACGCGCGATCCCTCAACCCCATCTACTATGAATCCGCTTGGGATCCCAAGAGAGGGGGCAAGGGGTCGAGGAGGAATGAAGGTCAAGGAGGGGGCAGAGGCCGCAGGAAGAGTGACTAGTAGGGGCCGCAGCAGCAGGGGGGGAACATGAGTAAGAATAGCGAAGGAAGGGCGGGCGGAGGAGCGGTGGAGGAGGGAGGGGCAGCAAAGGATGGAAGGAAGGAGGTAGGAACGTATGGTCAGAGAGCGATTGGCCCTTTGGCCACCCGAGCTAACCTCCAAAACCTTGTGCTCCTCAACGTGGGAGATAAGCTCAGCCATGGGGCCAGCGCATTCGTCCACCTTCTCCATCAGCTCCTGCTCGGTCGGCCCCGACAACAAGCCGTCGTCAACGCGCAGCACCCGCGCCAGCTCGTGATCATTGCCCGCCTCCTCCTTCAGCATGTCGAAATCAACGTCGGAAGGTCGAGCCTGGAGCTTTGCGCGACGGTGAATCTCTTTCTTGAAGATTGTCCGAAGGAGGCACCACCCTTTCACCTGTTTCGTCTCATCGTGGTCCAGCGTGAGGCGGATGCCCTTCTCGTCGCAGATGACACAGTACAGAGCAGAGAAGCGAAGCGACCGAATCAAATTCACGCTCTCCTTACTGGGGGGCATCGGCTGTCGTCCGACCGCTGCCGCTCGACCGTCGCCCGGCCGTCGTCCTCAGTCCTCAGTCCGACCGTCGTCGTCTCACAGTCGTTTCGCCGTCGGCTGCTGACTGTCGTCATTTGACCGTTGACCGACCGTCGTCCGACAATCGCCTGACCGTCGTCCAACAGTCGACGTGACCGTCGCCCCGTCGTCGCCTGACTGTCGTCGCCCGAATGCGATTGTCATTGCTGTCCGACTGTCGCACGGCAACCGCCGTCGCGTGATTGTCGCCCGCCGCCGCCGTCAGACTGTCGTCCGACTGTCTGACTGTCGCCCCCCGACCGAGACCGTCGCCTGACTGCCGTCTGACCGTCGTCGCCCGACCGCACCGTCGCCCTACAGCCGCCCCCCGCCCGCTGCACTCGGAAGGGGAGACATGGGCGAGGGCATTGGAAGGCGGGTTCGCCCCAGCGTCCGCGGCACCCCGAGGTCCTGATTTTCGCCAGCGACCTTGCTCAAGCACTCCTCGGTCGCCGCCAAGTGGTCCAAGAAGGTTGTCACGCACCCGCCCAACGCCCCCTCCTGCCGATGACGTGCGGGGCGGGATAAGAGGGTAAGCGATGGCGTCAATTGGATAGCGAATTGGGTTCCGGTTCCCACTCCCTCATCTCTTGATTATAAATATATAATAACAGATATAATATATAAATTAATCCCAAGTTTAATCTTAATCTAAACATTAATATAGACTATCATTTTTTTGAAATGCAACAATTAATATAAACTTTAAATCACCAATCGATTTTATCATATAATAAATATAAATATAATAATAAGATAATATTATTATATTAACATTATTTGTTCTATTTTATATTATGATTAACACTTATATAATCACGTCAAATCGCTATTCTAATCATCCTCCGAACATATTAACATAATTTCTCCATTAAAAATTACACAATTAAACCTTATTAATCTTGAAACTTGTTTAAGAATCTATATATATATCTGGCCGCCCTCACCCTTCGCCCACATGACCTCATCATTTCCCAGATGTCCCTCCTCTCTCTCCCTCCCCCATCATATCTCCATTCCGTCTCCTCCTCCTCCTCATCCGCCTGCGCCCCTCCAGCCTCCCACCAACCCCCAGCCCTCCGCCCCTATTATTCTCCCCCGTTGCCCAGGGCTCCTCGATCTTGGAGGCTGTCTCCCTGATCTTTTTGGCCTGCACCCTCCCCTTTTGCCACCATCTTGTTCGCGATCTTCCTGCCGATGGCGCTCGTCATCTTGTTGCCCTTTTTTGTCGCCTGCTTGATCACCGAGGTCTTGTCTTTGTTGCGCTTCTGGCTCATCTTGTCCTCTGCCTTGGCGAGCTTCTTCTCGCACGCCTGCTTCTCCTCGGGGCTCAGTGCGAACCCATGCAGGAGCAAGGAGAAGCGGCGCCGCCGCCAGGGTAAACAACCGCAGAGCGCCCCACACTCGCGAGTTAAAAACCGCGCTGTCGCACGAGCTACCCCCACGCCTCCCCCTCGGGAATGGGTTGTGTACCGCATCGCTCTTGGCGCCCTGGTGGCGGCGGCGTCGCTTCTCACCCGCCCGCTCATGGGGGGCAGTTGCTACGCGCGCTCCTTGTCCTTCCATATGCTGGCAGTGACTTTCGTGTCCTCCATGGGGGTGAAGTATCCGTCGAGCACGGCCTGGGTGCATCTCTGAACGACGATCGGCACTCCATCTGGCAGCAGGCGAGATGCGCCCCACCCCTTGCCCAACCGAGGGAGCCACAAGCTGATGATGTCCACCGCGTACGCCGCGCGCTGGCCCTTGATCTTCCTCGGCGCAGGCCCGACGCAGCCACGCATGTGGATGGCAGGCGGGCGGAGGCACAGGAAGAGGGACATAGAGGGAAGGGGGGGGGCAGGACAAGCTAGGGGCGCACTCGGCGCCACAACTGACATCCTACCACATCCACCCCCCCATAGTGCGATGACCCCCCATCGGCTTGCCGAGGTGGGAACGCGCCCGCGCCCAGCGTTTCGCCAGCGCGAAGCTTCGCAGCTAAGTCGCCCCTCAAACCATCCCCTAATCACGCGCGCGGCAACAGGCGACGCAACGCGACGCGCGGCCTGGCGCCTCCGCCTATGGCAAGGGCGCCACAGCTTAACGCCATCGCCCTGGGCGGGGGCGCCGCGCGAGCCGCCCCTGGACAATGCGCAGCATGGGCGGCAGTCGATCTCGCCGCCGACGCACGCGCCGCCCGCCAGGTCCCATGAGCGGCGAGCCAATCGCTCCATCCAGGGTGGCTGAGGGCGACCCCGTCTCTGGGCGATATCGCTCTTCGGGCGCGCGGATTGCAGCGGGGTGGGCTCAGCGCGGGGCGCGGCCGTGAGCTCAGACGGCGGCGTCGCCCAATTGGCGTCTTACCCGTCGTCGCTTACGACCCCACTGAAATGACAGCGCCACGTTGGCGCTTAGCCCGCAGGTGGGCGGGGCGGGGGGCAGGGGGCGCCAGGCGGGCGGGGAGGGGGAGAAGGCGCGAAAGCCTGATGAGACTATAGGGGAGTCGGATGAGGAAGGAGGGGGGGGGGGGGGGGGGGGGGGGGGGGTGAGGCAGGGAGGGCAGGGGGGAGGAGAAAAGATGAGCTGTTATTTCTTCGCCCTCCTCCCCCGTCTCTCTCCCCCCCCACCCCCGACGCCCGCCCCTCGTGACGTGGGTCGCCCAGCCACACGCGCCGCTAACATATCTCCGCGCCGTTCCCCATTCCATTGCCAGTGAGAGCGCTGCAAATGAAGAGGAGAGGGGGTACCAGTGCGAGCAAACGGATCCTGAACACTTCGTAGCACACGTGGATGATCTTGTCGTAGTGTGTCGCGTCGCCGCAGGTCAGGTCCACCTCCTGCTGGACGACGTGTACTAGGGCGTCCCAGATAGTCTCAGCGTTCCCGAAGCGCTCCAGCGGACTCATCTTCTTGGTCTGGGCGTCCTCGGGGGGGGGAGCGGCCCGAACCGTCGCGCTCCACCGTCGCGCCGACGTCGCCGCGACACTGGCGACGGCCATCGCCGCCACAGCCGTTGCGGTGACGACTCCGACGATTCGACGAGGGCGACAACGACCACAACAAGGAGCAATCCTCCTCGTCGCCCCCCCATGCTTCCCTCCTCATCGGGCTCCTCCTCCGCGTCCTGCCTCCTCCTCCTCACCGTTCTCCGAGAACGTTGCGCACCCTAGTGCTTCCTGTCCCCTATCCCGTTTGCCTCCGCCGCGGCTCCTTGTAGAATGTCTGGCACAGCTCGTAGCTGTGGTGGGACGGCCAGCGCGCGGGAAAGAGGGCATTCGCAAGCTCGTACTTCAAACTGTCCTTGCTACCCTTGAGCTGGCCCTCAATCCACGTGCCGCTCTTCTTCTTCCGAGCCCACGTGGCCTCTACGACCTGAGTGCTCCGAAAAACCTCAAGCATGGTCGCCACCGTCACGTCCTTGTTGAAGCGATTCCCCATGTAAACAAGGAACTCTCGAATCAACATGGCGCACTAGAATATAATTTACTGTTCGGGATGCCGTAAGAGACGCTGTACTGGGACACCCAAGAAATCAGGAACAAGCAACGTCGACAACGGGGATGCGGCGCATGGGCGCCCGCGGGCCAAACCCAGCAGCCCCCGAGACCTCTGCCCACTCGCAGGCCTTGCCCCAGACGTTGGGGGAGTGGGGGTG